TTATTTTCATTATGTGTCATAAAGATTATGTGTCCACTAAGAGTTTGCAGATATCTTCATCATTCAAACCTCGCTTACGAGGAGCCATCGGAATTGCTAAAATAACGGAATATTTGGCTAAACTATTTTCACACCAACATTCAATATATGCCAACCTCCAATGCCGAATATCGCAAAACCCTCCTGCAATCCTCCCCTCGAAGCCTTAACAATAGAGGGGGAACTGCTTAAACCACTTATTATTAAGAGGAGAAGAGCAAATTTGACAGTGAAAGGGGAAAGAAATGTGTGGTACAAATGTTGTACCGAAACCGTCTTAAAATAAAATTATTTTTAGGGTACAACTGTCGTACCCTCCGTCCCCTAAAGGTTAATGACCAAAAAGTTCGTTCTTTTGGCCATCAATTAATTTTACGTTTAACCTTCTCTTTCTATGTGATACAGCTGGCATTAAAGCCTTTTTTTGTTGTTATGTTCTACGTCTATCTTAATAATGTTGTTTACTTGTTTCATTCATTGTCTTTAGATGATATTGACAATGTCCGGTTCCTTATATGAGCAATAAGAGCTCTAAATTGTTCTTTCACACTACTTTGGTTTCCTTCCTAAATAATTCTTAAGACCTTTTTTTTCAAAATATACCTACTATTTCCTTATTTTAGCTATAGTTTCGCATACATAATGTTGTCTAATAAGGTACCTATATAATATAAAACCTTTGTCTTTCCTTGGATTACATTCGATTTCATATATTTCCGTATTATATTTAAGAATTTGCAGGCTTAAGTTATCCTCTTTTGTATTCCTCTTAGTTTAAGTACGTAAATATTCACGGCTATTTTTTTAATGTATTCTTAAACCTTTCAGTAAATTTATCATATTATTTTCATTTGCATAGATAAGATTCCTATATTATTTTTATGAAATCTTGTAGCCCAATTTTGTCAAAAAAAGTATAGGGTTTTAATTTTTTAAAGTAACATTTAAGATACTATTCTTTAACTTATAAATTACGCGTTTGTGCTTGTCAAGTCATAAAACAAATTTTTTGTAAGCTCCATAATTAACTCCATAAGAAATACTCGTTTTCAATGATGGTTTTTAAATCTATAATTGTTATTATTTAAGATATAAGAAAAAAGTATTACATGTTTTAATTTTGGATTCGAAACTTTTTATTAACTTTGGCATATTAATACCATGCGGCATGCGTTTGTTACTGTAATAAAATGACTATTTTAATATGAATTTTGAATAAAGATATTTATTTAATTTTTTAAGGTTTTCGTTATTTTGTTGTGATTTTTCGAATTTTTAAGACAAAATATATAAGTCTAACTTTCGAAGGATACTGAGCAGCCGCAGGTAAGTGATATATTTTTATAGCATTCAAAGTGCTATTATTTATATCAAATTATTTGTTAAATTACCTCAGCCATTTAAATCTTTTATTATGGAATTTATATTTTTTATACATTTGATTCATTAAAATTTCTGTTGAGTGCGGTTTTATTTTTAATAAAAAGTAAGGCTTTTACTGCTAATAGTTTAGATTAATAATTAGGCTACAACCTAGGTTAAAAAATTAGATTTAATTAAAAAAATGTTAATAAAAATATTATTTTTATGAAACGAAACGTGCCCTTTATGGTATTCGCCGACTGTTCTTCGTTTTGAATTAAAGCACTTACATTAAATAATGGAAACTGGAAATTGATAATTATTATATAATAGGATGTATCGCGAAATTTTTTTTTCAAAATTCAAGTAAAAAAAGTTGTCAGTGTTGTCACATATTTACTAAAAAAGGTTTTATTAATACTTGCTTAAAAGTTCAAAAAACATTAGGCTTTCTAAATTTTTTTCGGCCACAAATGAAAACTTCATATTATTTTAAAAATACAAATATAATGCAAATAATAGTTTTTCCATTTAAAAATGTAATGCAGCAGTAAAAAACTTAAATATAACATTTAATTTCCCGGAATCGTTATAAAAACCTTTGCCTTACCCGAAATCTACATAATAACCTCATTTAAAGTTTGCGAAGAATGTTAAAATGTGCACATTTATAAATGAAACTTAAAGTTACCATGTAGATTTCAAGAGTTTCCATGCAGATTCATGCATTACATTATGATTTTTGCATAGATAAATTTTACTCCTCCCATCAGAAAAAAAAAACTTTTGGCCTATTCCAAGATCCTAAATATTTTTTAGTTTGAATGAAATTTTTTACAATTTTTCTACTTAATTTTTGAATTTCGAGAAAAAGTTTTCATGATATACATCGTATTATATGATAAATTTTATACTCGACATAACGAAAATCACCTCTAAATTATTTTGATGTGATTATAAACTATTTTCACTATGAAATTCAACAAAAATAATTAAAAAAAACTTTTTGAAATTTCTCGTAATTTTTTCATAGATTCGATTTTCTATTAAAAGATTTTTCAACATCTTTTTTTCAAAAATTAAATAAATAAAAATACTTATTTTCTTCATATATCATTAGCCAAATTCTGAAATAAAGTTTTTAGAATAAATTCTTTTTCTTGAAAAAAATTTTACTAAGAAGTATGTATTTTTTAAAAAATATATGTATAATAAATTATACTATAAAAAATTATACTATAAAGGTTTGCAGTTAAGTTAAAATATTTTCTTTAAACTTTTTAGTCAAATTAAAATAAAAACAAATCGACACCAAAACATTTACCGCATATGCAATCTTTTTCATTAACTAGCTTTACGAACGTCACCGGAAAAATCAGTGCGAAATACGAATTTTTTTATTAATTTCAAATCTGAGTCATAAACTATATTAGAGATTTTAATTTTAACATAAATTTTCGTTTTTTGTTTAAATGTGCCAAAGTCTTTTAAGTGAATATCGATCGACTTTCTCAGTATGCTTTAATTTTATCTAGCTATAACTTACATAAAGTTATTAATTTTGTGTCGAAGCATGCTAAAACGTTCTTAATTAAGCCTAAGACCTAAAAATTACCGATAAGTGCTAAATTTTAGCTAACGAATTAAGTTCTCATGTAGCTATCCTTATTTAATCTTTTTACTTTAATGATAAATTTAATTTAAAAACTGAAGACATTATTTATTTCTTTTCCAGATTTGCTTTTTAGGTTTGTTTACATTACTGGGTATCAACGTTTCGTGTTTTATCGAGTCATGTATTCTGGATAATTTTGATATTGTTTGCAAACTCCAGAGGCATACAGGAAATGTTCCTTCTATTATTTCTGCGGTAGCAACCGCTGTCATGTGCTGCATAAGGTTTTATTGGAGCCTACCACTTAACATTCGAAGGGTAATTATTTATTTATTATCTAAATACAGATTCCTCTTAGGTAATATAATAAATTCGGGTGTTTATCTATCTATTGGAAATAGTATAGTAATTATTAATTTTGTTTGGTTGGCTAAGTAATAATCTGAGCAGTGTGAAAAAATTAGTTGTGGGTTAAGTATTCATTTCCATTCATTTTGTTAGTTGTCTTCAATAGTAATTTAAGTGGGGTTAAACAATGGGTTATACGCTAAACATTTATCTCCATATAACATGAAAACATAATGGTCTAACACAGTTTTCAATGGTTGCCAGTGCATTTTTATTGGCTGGAAAATCACATCGTAGGATCCAGTTTTTCCACACTGATTTACATACTGTTTTGGTTGTCATCAGCATGAAATTAATAAAAGTCCTAAAAGTATTATTTTCCTATAAGTATTTTAGTACTCGTAATTGTGGAAATACGTAATAGCAATACGTAATAATACCAGTACAGACAACAAGGTATTTACCAGTACTGCTATTATTAAATTTTTGATTTTAACTGTTTTAAAACTAAGCCTAATTTTTTTTATTATAACGTATTTCTACGCTGGATTTTAAGATAAGATTATTTAAATAGGTGTATAATCTTATTAAACGTTTTACACACAATTATTACTTTTATGCAAATTACATTAATAATAATATATATTACAATTAAAGAGATTCGCTAAATGATTTAGAACTTAATTAACAACTTTATGAACAATGTAATGCCTTAAAAAATTGTATTTTATGTATCTGTCCATCTGGTAAGCAAACCAACTCACTAAATATGCTATGACAACATACTTTCAATTTCAATTGCTGTTTAAAAAAATTATTACTCAGAAATATTACTTGCGTTCACTAATAGATCTTAATCAAATAATAAGTGAAATATTTGGACATGAGAGCACAATTCGAAGCAAACATAATACTTTGTAATACATATATTTTAAGTGAATAGTTTCAAGTTTCTTAAGAGAAAACTGTTTTATACCAAAAAGAAAAGCAATTATTGCGAAGCAATAATCGGGGTTGGTCAGCGGTAGCGAACAGGGGCTTAGTCCCCTAGTTAAGAATAATTTTGCATTTTTACAGAAATAGAAACTCATTAATTATTTAGATTTACGAAGTAATTATTTAGATTTATTGTTGATCCTTTCTGAAATAGTTGTAGAAACTCCAAACATAAACGGTGCCGCATACTGTCATACCAATTATTGGTGTTGGTGCTTGCCTTTCACGAACAATAGCATATAAATATCGTACGATGCTCAAGTTATAGCTCGAAAGGTGCGTGAGGAAGTACAGTAGAACCTCTTTCCATTTATCCCGTATCTTTCCCGTATGAATAGTCCTGTTTTGACAGTCTCGTCACAAATGCTTTTCTTACAATGTTAATAATATCTGTTTATATCGCTTTTGAAATTAGCAGATTCTCGCCGATTCAAACAGATTCGAGATTATTGTTCAGAAGTTCCACTGACATTTTCCAAAAGTATTAAAGTAACTCCTGATGCTAACCATGAAGAAGAAAAGGGGATTTCTTAAAGAGAAAACGCCTCAATCATCACATTTGTTGATCATGCATCAGTTGATAAAAATGTTGAAACTTGTAGTGGTTCAAGAAATGGTTGCAGAAGCTGAAGACATGCCGATGTGATACCGATGTGATACACTATTATATATACACTGAAGAGCCAAAAAAACTGGTATACCTGCCTAATATCGTGTAGGGCCCCCGCGAGCATGCAGAAATGCCGCAACTCGACGTGGCATGGATTCGAACAATGTGTGAAGTAGAGCTAGAGATAATTGACACCATGAATCTTGCAGGGCTGTCCATTAACCAGTGGGAGTAAGAAGGGATGGGAATATCTTCTGATCATCACGTTGCAAGGCATCCCAAATATCTCCAATAATGTTCATGTCTGGGGATTTTGGTGGCCAGAGGAAGTGTCTAAATTCAGAAGAGTGCTCTTGGATCCACTCCCAGACATTAACATTATTGAACATATTTGGGATGCCTTGAAACGTGATGTTCAGAAGATATCCCCACCCCCTCTTACTCCCACTGGTTTATGGACAGCCCTGTAGGATTCATGGTGTCAATTACCTCTGGCACTACTTCACACATTGTTCGAATCCATGCCACGTCGTGTTGCGGCATTTCTGCATGGTCGCTGGGGCCCTACACGATATTAGGCAGGTATACCAGTTTTTTTATGTATATATATATATATACATAGTAACCTATAGCACCACATTGTGGTCCCCCTAAATATTTGACCTATAATTATAATAATTTTTTCTGGTAAGGTGCACTAGTACTCTGTAATATAATGCGTAGTCCAGTTGGAATATTATGGATCAATATTATTAAGAGATACAAGGCCATGTAGTAATTATATTATATTAATTATAACATTATAACGAGGTTAATATAACAGTGTATTAACCTCGAATTTCCTCATTCCAACGCTATTCAACATACTATTATAAATATACATATATAGTTACCAATAGAGTCACATTGTGGGATAATGGGTTTAGCCACAATCAGGTCTCGAAGCCTTTGAAACAACAAGAAACTTTCTGTATTCAATAGGAACTCGCAAGAAATGAACTGTTATAAATATCCAAAATTTATTGGTTCCGCTAAGAAGAAAAGATTGTGTTTAAACCAAAATTTACAAGGATTTTAAATAAATAAATATGTTTTATTTATCCATCTTTTGCATCACCAACATTTCTGCATTTAGGACACAATTTTTTCAATTAAAATTTTTAGACTAATTATTAAATTATTTATTTTTAAATCCATCACTTTATTATTTTTCATACATTTTTATGTTATTGTAATATATTTTAAGTTGAGCCGCATTCGTCGTTTTCCTGTATCTATCGTTCGTAATGAATGGTCACATGAGAAACGATTAATCGATTTTCTACTGTAGTACAACACATAATGAAGCATTGGAATGAGTTTTCTATCTTATCTCACGACCGAGGTGGAATAATTGGCATAATTTTATTCCTTCTTCTTTTGGCTATGCTGATATTCCGAACTTATACTTATGGTGGTTTGTTTTGATTTAATTGCTCCGGAACAGGCTCTAAATTATTTCTAAAATTAAATATTTAAAGAATTTTGACAATGTCGTGGACATCACTTGAAAATAATTAAAATTGAAATCGAAGAACTTCTGTGCGGCAACAGCTAAACAGTGAAAAAAATCTGGTAGATTGGAGGAGGGATTTAGAATATTTAAATACACTTGTGTTGTGCATATGAATTGGTTATCATTAAAGTTCATATGTTGCACAAGATAATTTTGAAAGGTGACCACGCTGATCGGCAAGGGCAACTAGTTTTTAATAAAAACATAACCATTTTGTCCAGGATAGCTGAGTTAGTAGGGCTTTGGACCCATGTCCAAGAGTTCGTGCGTTTGACTCCGGCCAGCCGAAGTCTCTCCGTTTAGTAAATGTGACTGGTGTACGTTAAACTTGTCGGATCACAGAGTTCACCACATTCCCATAGCAAATTATACCTCTGGGATTACTGAATTGGAGATTGATCGATTTCTGGTTCAAGTCAAAATTACGATCTGTGGATGAATGAATGGACCCGCCCGATAAACGGGTAATTACATGTGTGGCTGTAGTCGTATTTGTGGCCATAGATGGCGTCACTGAAAAACAAGAAACTCATACTCTGCCTTGAATTTGCTTGATTTCACCAAGCAGGTATGTTAATATTGGCAAGTGGCATTAGAAACAACACAACGTATACAAGTACTACAGCAAAACATCAATTTACAGTTGTGTGCAGTTGCGTTAAATTTGAGAATTCGCTTTAATATATTTAGAGAAAAAATAAATTAAGTCCCTTCTAAAACTATTTCTAGAGATTTCAGATAGCATCATATGCTTTACAAAAATGAAACAAATAAGTAGTTTCAATTAGAGTTTTCTGATAAATAGAGAAAGATCAATATTTTTCAAATATCAAAATTAACTGTATTTTAAAAATTATTTTCTCGATGTATTGCTAATAGCATATTTTACATTTAATATCAAATATACAATAATTATCAACAAAAGAGCATAAAATTATTAACCAATGAGCGTGAAGATTATTGCAATTTACACCAAATATCAACAGCTAGAATTATTTTAAAATCGAAGTAAAATGTTTTGAACTATACTTGTTTTGAATCTCGCGTTTATAATAAAACATAATAAATAGAATTGATTGTGATAATCAAAATGTGATCCAGCCGTAATCAATAACTACTTACTCAAAAAGTACTATATAAATAGTGGTTTAAAATTCCCATTTCAGAAACTGATATGGTTAATATCAAAAGAATTAAAATCAAGCACACTACTTTTCATTAGCAAAGAAATATTACTGGAAACCTGATTCTACAAGCGTGATTTATGAATGAGTTTGCATGAATATTAACTCATATTTAAACTTAAAATATCTTAAATTAGCTTATGTTTAATTTCTTTAATATCTAAAATAAAGTTGAGACAAAAATCCACCTGCTTTCAGATTTACAACTAAATATTTTTGTAATCTAATTATATTTACCTGTTACTTTGTGTGTGTATGATACTAAAAAAGTTTGAATTAGTAAACTTATAAATTATTTTATAAATTATTCTGCCCTTTGTTTGAAGTGTCCAGCTGCAACGCTCATTAGCAAATAAGCAATGTCGGCATATTTATGAACATCACTGTATTTTAGAATGTTTGAAACATCAGAGTATGTGAATTTGTTCTTAAAAACAATATGAAACATCTCTCGAATTGAGTAAACTTTCATTTATGAGGTCTTAAATTTCCTGCGGTTATAGTGCGCTTGAGATAAATACACTTGATTTAATTTAAAAAAATTATTAAAAGCAGCAATTGAATTGAATTAAATAAATTGAAAATTGATAACGCAAAGATCATATATGTGTCTAACACTTATTACTTATATATATCAACAGGCATTGAATTCAGAATCAAGCTCTAATCCACGAATTACATTTAAAAATGTACATAAGACAGCTAAGCAATTAACAGAAGA